GATAAAACATTCAAAATATCAGAAAATGCCCTTGGTTAATGCAAACATTAAAAATTGAAATTATTAATTAAATGAGGATAATATGGTAAATTCACACTTTTCATAATAATAATAAAAAGATAAAATTAAAAGAAAATCAGATAATGGATCCTATGTTAATGGAACACAACTATCGATTATCTTTTTTAATTCTAAAATAAACTTAAATTCTTTTTTTTTTTAAAGTCTTTCGCAGGCAGGAAAGTGCGTGTAGAGAGGCTAGTAAGTTTTAATGTGTTTTCTTAAGTTCATAGAAGTCATTTTATAAAAGGTAAATTTGTCTTTGAAATTTTGAAGATAAAGTCAGTGATGAAATATAACAAGGTGGTGGAAATAGCAATACTCATTTTTAATCATATAAAAAAACTGTGTTCAATTCTAAAACAATGAATGCATCATTAATGGATAAGTTTTAGATGAGACATTTTTATTTATCAAATGTGCATGATTAGAGATGACTAAAGATGAGTGGAGAAGAAATTATCTTTGTGATACTAATGATGAGTGAAAAATAACACAAACTACATGGATTAAAAAGTGTAATTTAGCTTTTTGGGTTACTAATCCCCATTCAAAAAAATAGGGTATTTAAAAAATGTTCGATTATATTACATATGGGCTTAGTCAAGTTGACTAGTGCGAATATGCTTCCCACTCTACACTCCCTCTCCGTAATTTAGATTAGATTAAAATAAAATATTATTTGTATAAAATTAAAAAAAAAATTGTTAGATTATCTATTTATATGCTCTCTATTATTGCTGCTTCACCCACTTAAGATTTGGCCCAATAGATTTTTTTAGCCCAATAGAGATTCAAAAGCGCAAAGTTGAGGAAAGCCTTATTACGGATCAATGGTGGCAAAACTGCTAACACAACAATAGAGGGCCAGCCATTTAGGCCCAATGAGATGTTAAAGGGACATAATTTATGACTTCTTTCCATTTGGTCCATTTCTAAGCAAGAACATCAGTTTTTCCACTACTGTGTGAAGACAAGTCCGTGATGAAATAGTCAATATACTTCTTATTTATTTGTTGATAAATTACATTGTCTCTAGAGTTGAGATAAAATTATGAGCAACAGACTTATAACTTAAGTGATTAAGGACTTGTTTGGGAGTGCTTCTAGAAGGACTGAAAGTGCTTTTTACTGACTAAAAGAGCTTTTAATAGCATTTGACATAAAATTATAGAAGCGCTTTATAGAGAAACACATCTTTCATGAAGCACTCCCAAATGCTTTTCCAAGAAGCACTTGAATTTTTTATGAAAATTCAAGATTTTTATAATGAAAGTATTTTTGTTAGAAGTGCTTATGAGCAGAAGTACTTTCCATAGAACCGGTCCCAAACAAGCCTTAAGAGTATCAAGGAGATTCTCCAATAAGTATTTTATGTTAAGGATTGGTTACATATTTCTGATCTCAACCATTAGATTACATGTATGTTGCATATTAATTCTATCAACACATCTAGTTAATGCAATCCGACGACCAAGATTATAAATATGTAACAAATCCTTAACTTAGAAACTTATTTGATAATCTCTCGAGAGCATCAATCCTTGCATTAGAGGTTATGTGTTTTCAAGTACAAGCAATAGTCTAAACTTTAGGTGAGGGGGGTTTCTCACACACACACAACCAAGATGTCATGGTGGTTCGAATCTGAAACTTCTTGTCTACAAGTCAATGCCCTTTTTCAATAGGCTAGACTTTAGTTGGCTAGAGGTTATGTGTTTGATTCTTCCTCACTCAATATCAATTGTAGCACCTGAGGTTCTATCAATTGTCTCTGTTTGATTACCTTAATGAAATTTATATATACTCTTGATTTTTTTTTAAAAAGATAAAAAAAGATAAAACTTATAAATTTAGAACATAAGTTAACATTTCAAAATTATACTGACCCAAAACTTAGGCTTTGAATCCAAAATCAGAAATTTAAACCCTGAAACATGGATCTCATACCTTAGATCTTGGGCATGGTTCCTTGGGCACTTGACCCCAAACAAAACATGTCTTATAAATTCCAATTTTTAAATCTCATCATACTTAGTAGCGGCAGTTAAATAAGTTCTAATCCCTTCTTGGCTAATCCATTCATAATCTTTGACATCAATTTTTTTTGTTTTTTTATAAATGAGTAATGTTAGAGACACTAACTTATTACACCAACTGATACGTTGTCGTTTTATTTATTTTCTTTCTAGACCCGCCATGGACTTTGAGTATTTGCAGCAAATAAAACATTGCCACATCATAAGAATAAACCAATCATGGGGTAAATTGAGAATCAGATGCAAACAACTGTCAGAGAATCTCAAATATGCATTGTTTAAGGCACTTTTCTTATTTTATGGATGGTGAATTTGGTTCTGAAAAACCTGAATCATAAAAAAACTGAGCAACTCACAACTGATATGTCAAGTTGCCAAATCTGCCAAAGCTGTCATGGTAAAGCACAAATCTTGTCAACATGAGTTATCAAGCACAGTTTCTTTTGTGTGTATGCAACACATGGGAATCTCAGATAGAATTTAGGACCTTGAAAAGTCCTGGAAATAGTTAGTTGCTTGGCCTGTGTACCAAATTTCCAAAACCCTATCTGTAATTGCCCAATTGAAGGTGTTTTCCATGTCAATTATTCCAAATCATGTCATCTCTATCAGAAGGGATCATTATCTATGGCTGGTCTTTGAAGGAATCTTTAATGAGAATGCTGTTGGTGTGGGCCAAGCACTTATATTTTACTTCTGCTGCCATGTGACTTTCTCAAATGTGTGTAGCTGCTTCACATATTCTATCTCCATTCTACCAATAGAGGAAAGAGAATAACTATTGGGTTTGAAATCTGATCAGCTTACTCAAAACCAAAAGAATAAAATAAACCCTTTTTTTAACAAGAGAAATTAATTAGAACCCTCCATCATTTTCATTCACTTCTGTCACCAAACAAACCATTTATACCATCCACAAAAATGGGCCCTCAATATGGGCTCCCTTCATTATATCTTGTCTATAAGATTCTCTCTATTATTTTGCTTGTGAGAGAGACTGTTTTGTCATGCTGCTCAGATAAACATACCAACTGATTATGTTTTTTAAAAAGTGGGATATGACAGGGTTAGGTATAAAAGATAGAATCAGCAGGATTTAGTATAATTCTAATAAAGAGGCCTTTTTTTTTCTACGGTTAGAAAGGAGAGGGGGGTTTTCTCACGCATACACCGTCAAGGTGCAATGAGAGTTCGAACCTAAAGAAATTGACCAAATTATCATATCTTTTGGAATAGTTATCATATATTTGTTTAATTCATTATCATATCATTCCAGGGAAGAAAAAAAGCAAAAGATAGAGGTTTTTTTTTTTGTTTTTTTGGGTCCAAGAGATTAATGTTCTTGAGTAGCTGAAACAGAATTGCTGGAAAAGGAAAGGCTAGGTTGGCTCATGAGTTTCATTGATTTGGCCTTCTGCATATTTGAGCCCTTCATCATTTCTGATTTTACCATTTTTGTGTCTGCAATTAGGACAAATGTCATCATCGTTTTTGGTTGGATTTTTTGCTTTACCCTGCAACAGTTAAAATCTCTCAATTAAGAACTCAAACTGATACTTATTAGGTGGCCTTAATTTGGGAGAATAATGTCAACTTATTCCTTGTCTACTTTTCATAAAATAAGAAGCCATCAGTTCTCAGAGGGATTGAAGATAATGACAAGAAAATAGAGGAGATAAGTCCGGATCTTGTCCTTTCATCTTATTCAATACAGCTAAAACACTGCCAATCTGCCATCCACCGAATTGAACTTTGACACTTTTTTTAAAATTATTGGTAGCCAAAACATTGAAATTAATCATTGCTCTCTTTCAAGCATGTTTATCTCCTGTACTAGTAGTAAATGCATTGATGGCTTTATTTTAGAGAATTGTTCACAAAATCATGTTCAAATGCTTATGTAAATTAGACTCAGTCCTTGATGCAATTTTTCAGAACAGAACATTTGAATGAAGCCAAAAGGGTCTCAAGGAGCCTTGAAAGAACATAGGGTTTTTTGTTTTGTTTTTTGTTTTTGTTTTTTTTCACAGTTAGGAAGGGGAGGAGGGGTTATTCTCTCTCTCTCTCTCACACACACACACACAACACAGTGTCATAGAGGATCAAACCGCAGACTTCTAGTCTTGACAAACAGAGGTTGCACTAGCTAAAAAAGTTAAAGATAACTTCTTCTTTTCTTAATGCGATAGTCTAAACTACAGGAAAGGGGGATTTCTTATATACACACAACTATAAAGCTGTGGGGATTTTAACCTAAAATCTCTAGTATGCAAGTCAATTCCCTTTTCCACTGTACTAGAAGCAAATTAAAGATAACTTAAACAATAGAAATATAGGCAAAATTGGATTGAATTGAAGGCTCAATTTCATTAATGCAAAACCATTTATAAAAAAAAAAACTATAACCAGTATTTTCAAATAATATGATGGAGTAATTAATTATTATCTCATTTGAGCCTAGGAATGTCAAGCAGAAGCATAGTTTCAAAATGCCATGGACCAAAAGAGGACAATAGTAATCTTGAAAATACCGAAGTTGTCATCTACTTAGGAAGGCATACCTCCAAGGACATTAGAATATGTTAGCTGTTAGAGGGTTCACCTTGTTCTCCTGATAAAAGCTGATATGCGGTCCTGCTAAGTCCTAAAGGTTTGGTATCTGGAGTTGTCCAATCCAGGGTGAAAACAAGAAGAAAAAAAGCAAACCATTCTGCACAACTCATTCTATTTGGATTTGTGGAAGTCTCAGCAATTTTGTCCAAAAAGAAAGAATACAGACAACAAATAGGCAAAACTGAAAACAAGATGGTTCGAGTGCCTGGTTTTTAACAATCATAAAGCATAGAATTTTGACATTTTTTTTTTCATTAGTTGAAATGTTCAATTGATGTTTGCTGTTGGATTTCAAACATTTCATCCGCGTCTTGGATTTCATAGTTTGACCAATACTTCCATCATTCCTCTGAAGATAATTTAGACAAAGGAGCTCTCTTCAGTCTGAGAATTAAAAAGGGATGAAGCTGCAGGATCAGTTTTCAACAGATTGAGAGAGAAACAGATCCCTCAGGGTCCATTTAAGATGAGATCATGATTGAATTGTTCCACCACCTGAAATGCTCAAGAACCCATCTGAAAGACTTCAAATCTAAAACAATAAAACTTCCAGGGAAACTATGAGCTTGATGTAGGAAAAATGGCCTTGTTTCTTCCATGGACATGAGGACCTAACCAAAAATTCTTATACCAATTTTGAGACAATAAAACTCGTACTCAAGACATAGGGGAAGGGAAACTAATCCTGCAAAATTTCATAGCCGCTCTGTCTGTCTCTCAAGATCCTTCTCCTTTTATGTATAATGTAATTATATTTTTCTTTATATTCATTGGCTCCTCCCATGTATAAATATATCTGCAAAATTGATGGTGGATAAACTCTATACATCATTTTTTCCAGGTTTTTGAATGTGACCTTTCCAGCTATAACTTTCAGATTTTGCATCTTCATCATCTTCATCATCTCCACCGGTTCCAGTTAAATGGAGGGGACCTTGGGGTGAGCCAGATTGGGAACTACTAGCTTTTGAAGAATCAGCATATTGATCTTGGGACATCCACAAGCCCCCCAAAACAACTACAGATTGGTTGTCTGGGGCTGCAGTGGCAGCTGGAACTCTTCTTGTGTGAAGTCGGTATTTCTGCATTGACATGAAAATTCGCTCAATTTCAACATCAACATTCAATGTCAAAAGTAATAAAAGTGTTTGAAAGTTCAATCTCATTTTTTCTAAGGACGAAGACTTCCACAATGCCTTCTCCTTTGTTACTTTGAAATTTTTTAACACAATCAAACAGAAGCAAGGAAAGGGAAACTTAGAACCGACCTGCAAATGACTTTTCACTTCGTCATTGGTCAAGCCATCAACCTGCATGAGTTCTCTAATTTGCTTTGGAGTGGCCACTGCAAAAGATCCAAAAAGTTCAAGTTAGACACTATATACGGTAGGGGAAAATAAAGAGAGTATAATAATCCACCACAGTAATATATGCAGAGAAACAATCAATTTATCATTGAGGTAGCAAATCCATCAATATCTGTTATGCAACAAATATTCTGTCACTTGCCAGATTCATACTAATATCCTTATACATATGTTTGATTAATAGCACAAAATATTCTGGAGTTCAACCACTGAAAATTAAAGTAGCCTAGCCATAGAAGGAAAATGACAATACTTTCACCTTTTCCAGATTCAAACATTTAATAATCCACAATTCCATTGTGAACTCTAAAGAATCAAATCCATGAAACCCAAATAATGAGCAAACAAAACAAATTTGGGAACTAATTCCCATTTAAGTTTTAGAATCTAGACTCTCACAATCACAAAAGTAAGACATACATGTTAATTTACATTTGAACCTGAATTTCAGATTCAATATCTAACAGTTGACCAGAAAAAAAAAGTTCCAATATCTAACCTTGTGAACCTCCAAGTTGCTGCAAGGCATTGACGAATCTCCGATGCAATTCCGGCGACCAGCACCTTCTCTGTTTCCGGCTAGTTGGCTGCTGCGGTGGAGTCCGCATATTGGATTGAGCATTGGCAGTAGAGAAGGAGACTGCCCTGCCACAAGTGGATCTTGAACCACTGGAAGCTGATTCTTCCTTTGGATTCTTGATTCCTGGGGTGAGCAAAGACAGCCCATGAACTGGCAATTCCTCCTTATCTTCCTTCCTCGCCGCCGTGACAGAGAAAGCAGGGTATGTCTTGAATGGCATAAATGCTCTTCCAGCAGCCCTATTTCTACATGTCTGGAAGGGATCCTCATTTGCTAACCCATTTTCTGCCTCATTTCTCTGCCATAGTTTATTGTCTCAGTTAGAAGCTAAAGTTCAATGCTTTGTTTAGTTTTATTCAAATTTTTTGATGTTTTGTTTGTTTACCTTAGAATCAATTTCAGAAACTTGCTTTCGATCATATGGGAAATCAGTAGAGGGATGTTGATAATTATCAGTGTTCCAAAGCTGGACAGAGCTCATCCAATTCTTCTTATCCCTAGAGTCTTTTTCTTTCTTATTGTTATTGGTTCCTCCATTGTTTTTTTCACAATCTTTCTTCAATGGTATGAATTCTTCCAACACTGGTTGAACATTTGGTGCCGCACATTGCACTGCATCTTCCTTCAGAGCTAGAATCGCTGCAATCAATATGAAGAAAGCAAACCCAGAAAAAGAGTTAGAACGAAACAAAAACCCATTGATCAATATCTTCAAAACTAGAAACCCATTAAACATTTCGACCACAATAAAAAACCCATTAACCAAAACCAACAAACACCAAAAACCCCAATTCTCAAATCGAACTAATTTAATCATTTACTGAATACCCATCAATCAAAACCATAAAAAATCCAAAACCCCATCTCCAGAATTGGTTCCTCTTTTCCCCCAAAAAAAAAGTTAAAAAGGAAAATATGTACTTTAAAATCGAAGTTTTAATGTTTTAGTGCAATGGAAAACAAAAACCAACCATCATTCAAGAGAAACATGCAAAGAGGAAGCTCGCGCTTGAAGGCGTCGATCTTCCTCATCTCTTCCTCCAATCGCTTAACAAAATCGTCAAGCTTGGACAACCTCTCGGATACACTACCGATCATTGAAACCTCCTTGAGGAAATCACTGATCGTTTTAGGCACAAAAGTGGGTCTAAAATCCAAGCTCAGTTCAGGAGGAACCGAACCCATTTGAGATTTTTGAAGATTTGGATCCTTCAGGTATTTTGGTTTCTGTTTGCAATCGCTTTGCTTTGTGTTTGTGTGTGATTTACCACAGAGAGAGAGAGAGAGAGAGAGAGAGAGAGAGAGAAACAGAGAGCTGAAAACCGAGAATCAGAAATAGTGAGGATCTATTTATATAGACAATGTTATAAATAATACAGTGAGTAGGGTGTTTGGGGGCAGAGAAAAAGTGGGAAAATTAAAAAGGAAAATAAAAATGGAAAAAGGAATATTAAGTCGAGAGAGAGGAGGAAGAAGAAGAAGAAGAGAAGTTTCGAGGGAGAGAAAGCATCGGCCAGTTTGGACGGGTTTTTAAGAAAGTCTCTTTCGTGGCGTCGCGTCTTTTATCTACCCTTCTGTCCTCCCGAGTTAACTCGGGCTTTTTTCCTCTTCTGAGTGAGTTAGCTCGGGCATCGAAAGTCTACTTTGTTTCTCTCTAATAAATAGTAAATAGTAAATAGTAAATACTCGTATCAATTTCTTGCTATAGTATCTTGACAAAATAAATAAAGATAGTGACGGTGGTAGAAGAATAATAATATTCATATTGTTTGAAGAAGTGGAGACTATTTTTCCCTTGTATTGGATGACTATGTATGAACCAAATAAGGTGTCATGTTGCATTCAAATTTCAGATATTTATTAATGAGTATTTGGATTTTGGATTTGTTTTGATTGTTTCATATAATGATCAGATTACAAGAAAAAAATTATTTATTTTTGGGTTAACTACTTTTTCTGTCACTCGGTTTTACACGAAAATTCAATTTGATCACTGGGAAAGATAGCGGAATGTCATAAATTGTAAACTTTGGGAACCACAATGACCAAGATAGCAAAATGTCTATAAATTGTAAACTTTGGGAAACACAATGACCAATTTGGCATTTTTGTTTTTTGTTTTTTGTTTTTTTCTTAGTGACTAATTTGAATTTTCGCGTAAAACCTAGTGTCCAAAAAGGTATTTAATATAAGCAATAGTCTAGACTACAAGGGGAATGGGGTTTCTCATATACACACTACCACGGTATTATGAGGGTTCAAACCTATGATCATTGGTCTGCAAGTCAAGATCTTTTTATACTCGGCCAGCAAATCTTAAATAGGTATATTTTGTGCTTTCCAATTGTGGTTTGGCATTATGAGATTAATATGAAGATACATTAAACAAATTTGGTCTAATAGTATTTGCCTCCGCTTGATTGGAGGAGATTTCAAGTTCGACTGACATGGATGACGATGATGATATATATATTTGTGATGAGTTCAATACCTAGTTAAATGTGGTAATCGTGTAACCTCGTTGTAGGTGTATGAATCCGCTATATTCTATTGTGTATGGAGGCATGCATCCTTACATCATTACATGTGAATAGAGCTAAACAATTTTCAAATTTCTAATACAATACATTAACATAATTGACAAAATGAAAGTATAAACATAAAAAAGAAACACTTTTGTTGGAGCCAGATGTTTTTGCCTTTCGGTCATATATTTTATTTTAGGTCGCCCCATGAAGATCGACATACTATTCAAACTCTTATCTTATCTCACACTTTAAATTCAATATTGTGTCATTTTAAAATGTAGAAAAATGTAGAAAGAGAGCTGCCCAAAGAAATCACAATATAGTTTGATTGATGAACAGGATGATGCTCATGAAGGAAAAAGAGGTTGAACAGCCAACACTCACATGCAACATTCAAACACCATGATCTAATCTTGCCCAAGTGTTTTAAAGCAAACAACTTGCCATCCAAATTCTATAATTTAATGACCAATTTAGCTCACATGAATGAATGCCTCTTTATTCTTCAAAGCAACAAGATATATATGCTAGAGAATCAGATAAAGAAATTGATCTTCATTTTGCTCAATATCCCCACATGCTTACTTGAGTTGGCCAATTAGGGTCAATTTTCTTAAAGCAACCCTTCATGAAGAAAAGGTGAAAAGAAATGGTCAATAGGCACTCTAAGCCATAGCCCTAAAAGCATCCAACCACCAATTTGAGGCCTCATCACCAACTTTGAACCCAACAGATGCTCTAGGATTTGGTCTCTTTTTTTTGTGTGAAACATTTCTCAAATGGCAGGTAAAAATAAAGTAAAATAATATGGTAAAGTGTCTTGAAATGGTCAATCTCACAACCTAAAAGTTGTTCTTCTTTCAAAGTGAATTATATTGTAATAGCTTTACATCTCTTTTATAATTTTGTTGTTGAGCATGGATCTTGACCCTCCAAATCCAATCTCCATTCTCAGTCAAATGGAGAATATAATTTTGCCCTAATTATAACCCACTTTTTGTAGCCCTGGCTTGTAGGTCAAAGTGGTGTAATTTCTTTAATGGGAACAGAAGGGCCACCAAAGTGGAATTTTCATGTTATAGTCAGTCTATGTCCATTGAGATTCCTACAGATGTACAATATTTTATGACCTCCAGTCCTTCACAGCTATTTATTATTTATGTGATTATTTAATAATTTGTAGAAAAAATAGTAGTTGTTTGTTTACCATTGGCAGGGCTTTCTATGCCATTGGGTAGTGGTTGTTAGCTTTTTTTTCTTCTTCCTCAATTTCAAAGGAATCCTCCCCACTTTCAAACCTTAAGGTTCGGCTTGGTGGATCACCAAATTTGTTTCTTCTATGCCTTTTTCTGGATTCCAAAACCCAAAATTTAGGTCATCTTTCTTCGAAGGTTCACAAGTCATTTGGCGTGTTCGAATAGGATTAATTCCTACCTAGGTTGTGAATTAGGAAAATGTTTCAAATCTACCGAAACCAAGTGAAGATAACTACCATTAAATGAAAAACTAGTCGAGTACATGATGAACATTACGCTCCCCCCATTTTCTTATAAAGATTAAAAGCAAAAAAATCAAAATAAATCTATAGATTCCGATTTGCATCAATTGATTAATGACGCTTAGAAAACCAACAAAATCCAGAGCAATTATTAAGCGACTATTCAACATGTGATTGGGTGATGTTTATGGACCCATCAATTCAGCAAAGGTGGCTACAAACTTAGAGATAAGGAATCTTGTGAAAAATGTTGGGGCCAACTTCGATATCGCCAGAGATTTCAGTAGGGAACAAATATATATGTTAATGTTGGCAGGAGGAGGAGGGAGGAGGAGAGAAGAAGATGCCCTTTTCAAGGAAAAAAAGACAGGCTTTTACAGCCGTTAGATTCCCATCTCTTTTCTTTAGTCCATAGAATTGAAGAATCTATCTCAATTCTAGTATTCTCTTGAAGCTGCTCCACCAAATTCAATTTTCTATGTTTTAATATATTTATTAAAGAAAGTTTGGATTGGATCCGGCTCCAGTTTCTCGCATCTCCATTAGTTTTTGTCGGATGCTTGTAATCTAAGAATCTTTGTGTCTATTCCATTCCATTAGTTTCCTATCACATCCTTCCAATTTTTCTAGGTCTTTTTATTTACATAAGAAAGCACTAACATGTGTATCCACACAAACAAAAAAAACACACTAAAATGTATTTTTTGTGTTCAATTTTCTCTCTTAAAATTGAAGAAAAAATTGCCAACGGGGTTTAGTCCAGCAGAAAATAGACTTGACTTGTAGACCAGAGGTCTCAGTTTCGAATCCCCACGGCATCATAGTTGTGTGTGTGTGAGAAATCTCCCTCTATTGTAGTTTAGACTATCGCTACATCCCTTTTATTTTAAAAAATTGAAGATATTCATTTTTCTCAAGCCTGAATGATAATTAATTGCTTTTTCTCAACCCACCAAGTTTTATATATATATATAAAAAATAATGATAATATTCTTTAAACCTAGATATATGAGTCAAATGGGCTATAAAGTTGTTTTCTCAACAATATATTAATTTCTGTCAACGAATTCCATTGGCCAAGGAACCGATATATTATTTATTTTGGCCGGTAGCACTATATTAATTTATTAATTCATGAAAACACAATACAATTGCAATTATTTTTTGAGTAATGTTACACTTACCACATTATTATCTCACATTTTTATATCACATGATGTGGCATGTCCATATAATATGTCATATCAATTAAATGAATGAAGTGTATTTTAATAAATAAAATTAGAAAAACAAAAACTAGTATTTTACATGATGTGGTATGTACACATCAGCTGTCACATCATGTGGTATAAAATTGTGGTATAAAAAATGTGGTAAGACTAGTATTATTCTTTTTTTTTTTTTACCAAAGTTAAGAGGGAGGGGGGAAACTCACACGCACAGATATCATGGGGACTTGAATCCAGGACCATTGAGGAGCAATATAATTGCATTTTGTTAGATACCTTGGTTTTGAAAAAACCGTTGTAATATCCTCAATTTATAATTTCTTAACCATCCAATTAAAAATAAGATGAAAGTAATTGAAATTTCCAATTTTTTTCCCCAAATCTTTATCTTCTTCCTTAAAAAAAATTAAATATTCAGATATTCTAAAACAAGACCCAACTAATGCCTAAAATTTCTTCCATTTCTTCAACAATTTAAATAATCTCTTTATTTCCCCAAAACAACTGGTTGGTTTTCCCATGTTATGTTTTGGTTCAAGTTGAGTCAATAAGTTGAAAGAAAAAAAAATAAAGTTTGGTGGGTAATAAGAAAAAATTTATATGATATTCCGAGTTCAAATGTTGTAAACGAGAATTTGACGTGAAAAGAAAGTTTGACAAAAGATTTATACACTGAAGCCTAATCTGAATTTGTTCACATGCCAATGTGATCTTTATATCAAAGCACAAGAAATGGAAAAGAAGAAGATATCATGTGCAAACATCTTTCATGAGTGGTTTTACCCATTTGTAATTCTATCCCATCAACTCCATCCATCCCCCTTGGTATAATTTCTCCAAAGGCACCTATCAAATGGCACCTTACCTAACAAGACTCCGTTATTCTAGCAAGTGCAAAATTAGCTACTCTTGTAGAATTTTAACCGTCTTTTAGTCTAATTAATGCAAATGAAAATGGCAAGATTATGAGGGACTCGTGGAAGGGCATTTGAGTCATTTCAGAGTGTGGTCTTCCTTCTTTTTTTTTTTTTTTTTTTTTTTTTAAGTACAAGCGATGAGTGGACGGTTACACAAATTTATATTCATTGGGTGCCTAGAGGTTCCGAATCTCTGCTCACATAAATGAAAGTAGAAGAACTCAACAAATTGAGTTATACCCTCTTGTTTTTGTGCTTATTTAGTTTTATATTGTTCATTATGATGGGTCAAAGGGGGATAAGATTCTCTCAATCCTGCTTCTAATGAAAGCAAATGATGGCATGGAATTGAAGCCAGGTCTTTGAACAATTCAAGAAAAAGATAAACAAAAGGGAAGGCATGGAATTTACTCTAAAGACTTTATAAAAATATAGAGATAAAGGAGAAAAGGAGAGATAGAGAGAGATAGAGAGGTAGCTTGGCTTGACCGCTTGAAAGCCAACCAACTTGTGTTTTGAGTGCCAAAGCAAAGCATCTCAATTTTGATTTGAAGAGATTATTTTGGTACTATCTGGAATCCAAGAAATGGTATCTCTGTACCACCCAACTGTTTGGTACTTTTCTACCACACAGAATATATATGATTTTTTTTTTCCACACGTTACCATCAAAGAAAGCAACATGAAGAATCACAAATAATTAATATATAAATTTAAACAAATAAAATAAGCACATAATTTATAAATTAGGTTTTTTTTCAGTATTAAAGAAATTCAAAGATCTGTGAGTTTGAGTGAGTTGACTCACAGGCAACTCAGCTTTTACGGTGAAATTAAGGAGGTGACCTAATTTAATGAAAAAAATTAGTGTTCTGTTAATTCAACTCTTCCCAAAGGCATGTATTAGCTAGTGAGTTTCCTTGTTGACAAATTTTAACAAAATGAAATTGTCGGTAGGGATTGAAAATAATGCATTATATATATATATATATATAGGTAGGTAGATCATCACCTACTTTATTCTTTAATTTAAAAAAACATAATTTTGATTACCATATGTTTTAGAAAATTAACATCGAATGTACTCACGTCGCATCCACCGGTAAGCACGTTTTGTTAAATATAAATGACATTCACAAATAATGAAGAGTGTAGTTTTTCATGAGCTTTATATTTTTTTATTGATTTATTTATTCATTGTATGAAAGGTTACATTTCATTAATAAATTTTCAATATATTCAGCTCTATTATGAGATTCAAAGAAAATATCATTAAATATACTAGTTATATATGATGTTGATCGTTACCACATCCGAATTCCAGCCCCATAGATTCATTTATAAAAATAAAATATAAAAACTTACGTAGATTATCACCCGGCCGTGGTGTATGTGTTAAGATTTTAGAGCAAGAGAATTGGATCCTCTCTACTCCTTTTGTAGCTTTATGAGTTTCAAATGATTTCATTTGAGTGTTCATAACGCTCTCTGTCGACATGATGCATATAATCGATGACATAGTATATTCATATCGACATATAATCAATGACATAGTATATAATTTTGATATACATACGGTTATCATTACATATACACATATTATTAGGTGATACAAAAATTTATCTGATTTGAAAACAACAAATCTTCTAAAGAATGAATTGATTATACTCATTTTTATATATAGAGATAAGGAAAAGCGTATGCATCTTGCACCTTGCACCTTCCAATGTGTACGTCTCAAAATTTCCACAAGATTCAGTGCATGAGCCAATTCCCTCTCACTTTCAAGATACTTACAAAGGCAACTAGCTTCTTGTTGGGTCAATCAAAAGAACAAACACAACACCTAATTTAAAATGCTTCCGAAGAAGACACACACAATCCTTATCAAACCCCAAAAGCATCTTTCACGTGATGACAAGCTTTGTTCTTGGCATTTCAATTTCTGCGAGACCTCCTCCTGAGGGAGGGTATCTTTTGCCTCTCTCTCCTCCCCCATTTTTTTTTCCTTTTGCAAATAAGTGGGTCCCCTTTGGCATGTCAAGGACGGATAGAATCTTTTTAAATAATGCTAGATATCAAAAAATTTACAGTTTTTTTTTTCCTTCTCGCAACTTTTTGTGAGGCTGTTTTTGTCATCTAGGGTTTTGGTGTGTCTTTGTCTGCTTTTAAGGAGTTGTATTCAATGGCATTATTGGTGTGTTGTGTTCTTGCTTGGTCCTTGCAAGGATTCCACTTATTGGGCCCTCCCTCAAGTCCTCTCCAACTACATCATCATCATTTTTTTCCACCCTCCCTTTTCCCATCGATCTTACCTTTCTAGAAATCAAGAAGTAGGTTTAATTAAGGGTAACAAATCAAAACTCCAGCTTGTTAAATAACAATTTTTATTTTTATTTTATGTATATAGGTTTGGTCTCATGTGAGATCCAACGTGCAATAGTAGATCTCACCTATTTTTCATTAGAATCTGACATAGTATCATGGACGTAATGTTTGGAATATCACATTCATAGACCACTTTGTGTAAGTTCGGATCCATTGCATTGGCAGGCTTCATCTCTAATTGCATACAAAATGAGCTGTAAATAATTATGATATTTTGTCAGCTCGAACCACCTATCTTCATGCGCATGATAGAATTATACTACATTTGTCAAAGTCATAAATTCATGGTGTTCCATCGTCACAAGCTAGCTACATGAGTTTGGACCACAAAGAGAAACTTTGGCTGCCACTATTAGAAAAAAGTTCGTTCTAATTTGATTGTCTTACTTCCAAAATCAATTATATAAGTTTTAATAAATGAAAAACAGACATTCGAATTAAAGAACTCTTCCAATAGTAAAAAGTAAGAATTACTTAATTTTATATTATCATTATATGCAAATCACACATGTTAAAATATTGTCGGTAACATCATAGTTTGTGTAGTCAGTAAATACTCGGGTACTTAGGTAAATGCTCAATAAAATTACTTGTATTTATAATTTTCTATATTTTAGTGAGAAAAAAAAAATTTAAAAAGGAGGAGACACTAATGCGTAGAGAGAGATATTGTGGAGATTCCATCTCGAGTCTTGAATTGAAAGGAAAGCTTTTACGGTGGAGTGGTACGCAGTACGGTGAAAAAACGTGGGGAGTGTCGGGAGGGCGATCATGCCTTATGACGTGGCAAAATGATGGGTAGGGAATCCGGATCGCCGCATACGAGCGGCGGTGCTTTTAACATTCAGGAATAATGGTGGGCCCACACTCCCCCTCCCATCAGATTCTCTCTTTTGTCGCCTTCCTTAATTCCATGTGCCATTTTTCTTTTCTGGATTTTGTTTCCTACTCTTTTTTAAATCACACTTCTTCTTCCTAGTTCTTCCTCCAATTCTACACCACATATGCCCATGTGGCCAAAGTGTGCCTTTCACTACTCTCCATTCCATCAAATATCAATGGTTTGCTTTGCTTTGCTTGCAAATAAGGATATAATGCTTATATTTTCGATGTTGATGCTTTTGTCTACGACTGAAATCTACTAAATTTAGACATGTAACACTATCAACACAAAAAAAGATAAGTATAAATATCAAACTCCTTTCTCGCTGTATTTAACATATATTTTCATATTATGACCTTAAAAGTGATCAGAGTTGCGACAAAATAATTAGTATTATGTGTTATATTTAATAACTCATACAATTAGCAAAAATTTATGTAAAATGTTCGTATCGATGATAATAAAAAAGAAAAACTATTTTCATAAATAGATGGAATATTTGAATAAGATTTCATCCTTTCACCCAAAAATATGGTGATAACTTGTGCACACAGAATAATTGGGCCAGTTCATAACCACAGCACCAATTTAAAAGAGTATGAACTCGAGACCTTCCTTCCTTGTAAGCATTTTCTATGATATATTGATTGCGCATTCTTATCCTCATGATGAGTTAGCTCGCTGGTCTCTGTCCCTATAATAATGGCATCGTGCCCTCCAATCTGAGGAAACAAGTCTCACGATCTACAGCTGCTGCCACTAATACATCTATAATTTTTGCCCTTGTAGTAAAGGAGTTTTTTTCCTTTTATTTGGGGAACTGACTTGCAAGGGACATTTACCTTTTGTTCATCTACCACCCAGAAGCCCAAACAAACAGAGGGTTAAGTAGGTCGAGCAAAACCCAATTACATTTTGGTGGACATGTTTTGTAATCCCATTTGGAGTTAAATAAATAAATACATTCCCATTAGGAGTGTAATGATGAACAAGAAGGCCCAAACATTTAGAGCCCTTTTGGAAGCACCTTTGCTAGAAGCGCTTTTATTAGAACCACGTCGGAGTTCTTTATTACATTTCCAAATGCTTCTTGAAAAAACATCTAGCATGTGGTGTTTTCCAGAAAAGTCTTTTTATACAGAAGCACTTCAATGTTTCGTGCCAAATGTTATTCAAAACCACTTTTAGCCATTCCAAAGTCAGTCTCAAATAGATCAAACACAATTGTTCCACATCAGACAGGTGACAGTCCATGAAGGATAGTGAGGCCCAGATTGGTTACCAAATCAGAACAAAAAATGCTCTGAGATGGAAGTGTGATCAAATTTCGCTCTTCGGATTGATGTATATATGATATCTGATTCTTAAACCGCAGAAAGAAAATTGGCTAAAGACTGTCATGCACACCAGAAAAACAAGTTATTTTGCGACGATTGAACAGCGCTCCAGCAAGACAATAACAGGGACTAAAGTTCTTTTCTGTCAATCTTCAGTTTCAACTTATCATGCATAGCATTTGAACCCAAAAAAAAACGTTGAGCTAAGCTAAGCGGCCAAATCCCTTGAAAAGGGGACGAAAAGAAAAAGACAGCGAGCCTGTAAACATATGCAGAAGAAAACTGTGGGGGGCATTGGTAGCAAGATCAAGTTTCTCAAAATTTATATTTCCATTTCTTGGAGACGTTACGAGCATAAAAAGTACAAAACTTAGGAAAGGACAATGACTAGTGCAAAAAATGCCCTCTTTTAATTGGGCTAAAACTATTTACACTTCAGCATCATTCTGTCCTGTCTTGATGAAATGAGCAGTCAGAAGGTTTGGGACTGAGAAGCCATTGAAGGGGTCGACCTCAGAAAGTTCTTTTAGCTTATCATCACACATCATTCTCCACTTATCAGAGGGATCCTTCAAAGGGAAAAAAAAGCCAAAAGCAGGTGTGAAGTTAAGCAGTCAGTACCAAGATCTAGTGGCACCCTCAAGCAATGGCAATACAGTAGAAAACAGTCATTAATGTATCTATACCATCAAACGTAACATCCTCCCTCAGGTATGCCTATCCCATTGAACTTCAAGTAACTGGAAAATGGGCCAATTTTACCTGAATGATTCCCGGGCACTATAATTTGGATTTTAGACAAACATTAATGGGAAATAGAAGTAGGCAAAAAGTTAAGCTGCTCTGAAATAGTGTGTTGGATCAACATCATTCAGCAGACAGACACAATACTACTAGGCAGCAGAACCAATGTTGGGCCGAAAGTGGTAGGAGAGAAAGAAGACCCGAACCATCTTTCTTAAGTCGTTTTCATTTTGCTTAGGGTCATCTGAATCTGAATATTGAAATTGGTGCTGAGACTCACAAGTTCATAACTGAAAGCACCTTGGTTCATTTCTTAGCATATTATTTGGAAACATTATGCCAGTACCAGGATGTGGTATAAAGATACAATAACTTTGCAACCCATCAAAGTTTGATAGCTGAAGACCTGAATATATTATATATATACAGATATATCTCACCTTCTTCATGCTCCTGTTCAGACTGCTTATCCTTTCGTGAAGCAGTATCTGGAGCTGCTAGATTATAAGTAACACAATTTGTAAGTAGGTACCAAAATATTTGTCAAAACTTCAACAAGAGAGTATAAATTCTGTGACAGCATAGCACAGATAGCATGGCGCACACTTCTGACGAATTAAAATTCTTCCTTGAGAAAATTTATCACTTTTATCACTGGACATACAAACAAACTGAAAGCAGCACTATGCAGATAAAGATACATTTCAAAATACTCATGTTCACGATGAAGCTAAATGCATATAGCTCTGGGTGGAATATATGGAACCATGTTCCACCCAACA